CATAAAAGACCTCTATAGACGTCTTTGGCAGCCAATGAGTTAAAGATACTCGAACAGGGCATCGTTTCAGTGGATGGAGCTGTAAACGTTACACCAGGGAACTAGCTTAACTTTTTGAAATAGGGTATAATATGTCTCCTTTAAAGTGTCTGATGGGATTTAATGATGAAACATGTTCAGCCACAATAAGACTTAACTTTAACTTTTATTTTTGTTTTTGGTAAATAAAATAAAACTGTGTCCATCATGTCAGGATTCAGAATAAAGCTCTGCTCTCTTCTCTCTTTTCCTCCTATAGTTCAGGCTCTATAAATCCAACACTAAACCCAGTTAAGGTTAATTTTGTGTTTAGATAATGGACATAATCTGGGAGTACAGTGACGCCTTTCCTCCATTTGGAGACGCTGATGTGCAAACTTTACCAGCTTGAGAGGAATTCACTTTTCATTTTTAAAAAGATCCAGGCAGAAATGTGAAGGCTAATTATAATTTAGCTTTTACTCAAGTCTTTGGATTGCTCAAAGGTCATTTAAGTCACTGGATGTGTTTTTTTCTGAGACTTTTAAAAGGGAATTATCTGTTTCTGCAGGCTCGATTTGTATTTATTTATTTTTTCATGATTTCTGACCCGTTTTGTCTTTTTTTTTTGTTTTCCAAAGAGAATCTGAGTGTTGTCATGAGCAGTGTTGTCATTAAACTGTTTCCAAAGTTTTTGGGATGTTTTTGTGGTCATTTTTGGCTCTATTGTCACTTTGCTGGGTCACTGGATAAAACTCCATCAACCCTTGAATTGCCGTTTATTTTATATAGTTCCTTTTTTTCAAACTGACCAGCTGGGTTTTGGCCACTTATTAGGTATAAAATAATCATCTTTTTTTTGCTCACCTTTTCATTGGACTTGTTTCCAACTGATTACCACAAGTTGACATTTCTAGCATAATATAATTAATTTAATGGAAACTTTCCCAAATTTCTGATAAAGAAATACATACATTTTTAATTATTTTAACTGGTTCTGATATAGGTTTGAAACCATTTCAGATTATTTTAAATCAAAGGTAAACGGGTCAAAAAGTAACAGGACAGGACACAGTTTAATCCATAAAGAAAAGTGAAATAACGTGTCTCAGAAAGAAATTGGAGACGGTCCACTGACTTTATGGCCTCCATATTGGATCAAAGATAATTTTCCCCGATGGGAACGTGGTCATGAGGCTTATCAGGAGACCCGACTGGCCTCAGAAACCAGAAACATCATCAGGTCTGCAGCATCTTCTGTGGTTATAAACTTACAGACACAAAGTCACACTTATTCACTCATTTACATGAAATCAGGCCTTTTTTTTGTCTTTTTTTTGGGGTTAAAACAGTCGGAATTAATTGGACTGTACCAGCTCATTTCTGAACCTATCAGGTTATTGTTTTATATGGAGTTATACCAGGTTAACGTGAGAAAAACCACTCAAATGTCTTCTTCCAGAATTTGGAGAGAACATTGTTGGAAGAATATAATCAGATTTTTTATAACACCCAAAATGACCAGTAAATTCAAATTTACTGTCCAACCGTGTTGGAGAAATTGTGGAGAATTTGATGCTAACCACACACATATTTTTTGGCTTTGTCCTAGAATGACACAGTTCTGGACCGAAATACACAAAGAGATTGTATTAACATTAGGCTACACAATACCTAAGACGGGTCTGGTTTTGTATCTTGGCCTTTTGGACGATGTTGTCCTTAATAATGACTGTTATCTGTTTAAAATTTTGTTGGTGGCTGCCAAGAAGGTAATAACTAGGAAGTGGTGCCAACCTGACCCTCCTACCAGAAAGGAATGGATACAGACTGTGAACTCATTATATGAGATGGAGATTTTAACACATAGACTAAGGACACAAGAAGAGCCATGCCAGGACAAATGGGAAAAATGGATAAACATCACATCAACGCTACAGGACTCATTTTGGATCCGAACGGTACCCTTGAATCTAGTGATACTGTACTAAGAGTCTCCCCCCACTATGTTATATTAGTTTTGTTTGTTCTGTTCTATTTTTGTTGGTTTGTCTTTTTGTTTTCTTTCTGAAAATATTCCAAAAATTCCAATAAAAATAAAGTTAAAAATAAATGAATAAATAAATAAATAAAAATAAAAAAACACTCAAATGAGGAGAAAAAATCCCTCTGAGTTTCAGTCAGAATAAGCAGAAGTCTGTCAGTGACCCACTCGTATCGCTTTCCTTTTTTTTTGTTTGGAGGCGGTTTCTAAGGACTCTTTTGGTTGCCTAGCAACGGCCGGAGGTCATGTGACTCCACCCCCTCCTATCAGGTGGAAGCCTCGGGCCACAGAGGGGAGATGGTGTCCGGGAAACAGGGTAAATACGTATTTAAATAAGTATTCTTGGTCTTTTAATGGTTTAATATATTCTCCAATGTCTTTTATGATTAAACCTTGCAGGTTTTTGGCCCAAATTCGGTCCATCTGACAGGTAAAACCATTTTATTGATTCAGTCTCTCGCTTACTTTCATAAGTGAGTTTATATTGTTAGATTTATAATTATTTTGATGCTAACTTAGTTTTGCAAAGTTCAGAACGGTTCAGATGAATACAAGATTCATTAATAATGTGATCAGAAATGATTTTTAAGATAAAAGTGTTTTCCAGACTCAGGCTGGAGTTTTTATTATTGGAGTAACCATCAAAATAAAAAGTATTGGCCTAATAAGCACTTTGGGTACCTTTTGGCTATTGTAAAGGGCTATACAAATAAACTTGATTGATTGATTGATTGATTAATGTAAATTTGATTAAAAGATCCTGAAAGTTAGCTTAAAGTAAAGCTGATTACGAATTTTTTGCAAATTAAATGCAAAACTCATTCAGAATATGAAATAACTGACTTAAGTATTAACAGATAAACTTAGATAACTGTATGTAATTGGCTATAATGTGTCTTAGTAATTGATTAATAACCATTAAAAGGTTTGGATCTGTTAAAAAACACGTCCAATAACGAGCATCAGCCTGGAAACAGACTCCAGGCCTCAAACCACACATGGATTTGATATAGATTTGGGATGTTTAGTGGATTTTTTGTGTTTTTTGGCAGAATCCTGGAGCTGGCACGGCACAAAACCTCAAAAACGGTTTGGGAGACGACGCCTTGGTGAGTGGCTCCAACTTCTCTCTGTTTTCCAAAACTTTTAAAGAGTTTAGTGGACATAAACGGGTCAAACTTGCTTCCCTTCCAGCTCTCGAATCGTATGTGATTTTATGTTTGTTCATTAATCCGACATGAGATTTACTCTAAAGACTCCAGGAGCCGATGTGGTTTGAGTTTCCTTCTTTGAGGGAAGTTTCCTCAAACGGTTCGATTAGAGACAGATGTCTGGCCCAGTCTGGGCGTGTTTTTGAGCCGATAATGGAACGAACAGACGCTCT